GCATGTGCCTGTCCGCTCACATACACAAACAAATGTAAGATTTTAAAATAATAAAACATTTTTAAAGGTCATTTATTTATTTGTATTTAATGTGCGTTGGTGTTTTGCCTGTGTGTATGTCTGTGTGAGGGTGTCGGATCTTGGAGTTACAGACAGTTGTGGGCTGGGTGCCATGTTGGTGCTGGGAATTGAACTCAGTGCTCTTAACCGCTGAGTCATCTCTCCAGCCCCCAATAAAACAGTTTTTTGAGAATTGCATGTATACATGCAATTTATTTTGTTCATTTTCGCTCCTATCCCCTGCCCAGATCCACCATCTACCCTACCCTTCCTAATTTTAAATCCTCTGTGGGGGTATGTATGTGAACACGTGTGCAGGTGAGAGAGGAAGCCAGAGGAGGATATTAAATCCCCTGCAGTTGGAGCAGCAGGCAGACAAAAGCTTCTAGAAGCAGGTACTGGGAATTACACTTGGATCCCTTGAAGGAGCTACAAGCTCTTTTTTGTTTGTTTTTTGTTTTGTTTTTGTTTTTCAAGGCAAGGTTTCTCTGTAACTTTGGGAACCTGTCCTGGAACTAGCTCTTGTAGACCAGGCTAGCCTTGAACTCACAGAGATCCGCCTGCCTCTGCCTCCCTGAGTGCTGGGATTAAAGGCCTCCGTCACCACCACCCCGGTGAGCTACACACTCTTAATCACTAAGCCATCCCTTCAGATCCCTTCACCCTTTGGTAACCTCTCAGTTCCAATTTGTCCTGTTCAGGGGTGTGAAGACATCCACTCAAGAACAAAAGAATTTTAAAGAAACCTGTGTTGGCCGGGCAGTGGTGACACACGCCTTTAATCTCCAGGAAAGGCATGCTTGCGCCAACATGAAGATCTTTGAGACTCAGGAAGCGTCAGACAAACCCAGGCTGAGGGACATTCTACAGACCGTTCTGTGTTCCTCAGAAATGCCAGGGTCCAGATGGGTGGGGTGACCAGGCCTTTAATCCCAGCACTTGGGAGGCTGATGTGGGAGAATCTTGGTGAATTTCAAGCCAGCCAAGGCTATATATTGAGACCCTTTCTCAAAAAATATGTCAGTGATGGCAGTTGAGATGGCTCAGGGAGTAAAGGCACCTGCCGCGCCTGCCGGGAAAGCCTGCCGGCCTGAATTCAATCCCGAGACTTGAGTAGAGTTGGAAGGCGAGAGCTTATTCCGTAAACTCATCCTCCGGCTCCACGCATGTGCCCTGGAGGGTGTGGCCCCTCTCCATCATATAACACACGGTGCATTTTTAAAATTTACCTTCATTTCATGTGCATTGGTGTTTTGCCTGCATGTATGTCTGTGCGAGCGTGTCGGATCCTCTGGAAGGAGAGTTAAAAACAAATGTGAGCGAATTGAACCCAGGTCTTCTGGAAGAGTCGTCAGTGCTCCTAATCTCTGAGCCATCTCTCCAACTCCGCCTCTGTTTTTATTATTTATTGATTAATTGGTTGATTGACTGAGGTCTACCTGCCCTCTGCCTCTTAAGTGCCGGGATTAAAGGCGTGGGACATTGTGCCAGACTCTACTTTTGTTTATTTATTTAATTGTTATTGTTTTAAGTTTATTTTTTATTTTAAGTTGATTTGGTACTTTGCCTGTATGTATGTCTATGTGAGTGTGTCAGAGCCCCTGGAACTGGAACTACAGACAGGTGTGAGCTGCCATATAGGTGCTAGGAATTTGAACCCAGGTCCTCTGGAAGAGTAGTCAGTGTTCTTAACTGCTGAGCCATCTCTCTAGCCCCCTGTTTCTGTTTTTTAACTTTTTGAAACAGGGTTTCATGTACTGAGGCTCTCCTCAAACTTGTTAATGTAGCCGAGGATGACTTTGAACTTCCTCCAGGTCTGAAGTTCTAGGTCTACACCCGTACGCCACCACGGCCTGTTTATGCCATGCTGGGAATTGAGCCCAGGGCTTCGAACAAGCTAGGTGAGTAGTCTACCAACTGAGCGACATCCCCGGGGCCAAATAAGGTTTAATAAATGAATTTAATGTGCACTGAACACAAATAAATAAATAGATAAATAAATAAATATCGATCTTCTTAGGGGCTGGAGAGATGGCTCAGCCGTTTAGAGCATTTACTGCTCCTGCAGAGAACCCGGGTTCAGTTTCCACTATGCATATCGGTTGAGCCTCTGGCTTCCAAGGGAACCTGTATGCATGGCATGTGCTTTAACTCACATAAGCACACACACATATGTGCAAAATAAGTTAATAATTATCTTAAAAGGATTCGAAGCCCCCAAACCCAATATAGGTATATATATATATATATATATATGTGTGTGTGTGTGTGTGTGTATGTATATATGTATATATAATGTGTTTATGTATATACATATATACATACACATTGGTCAGTTCCCTTTGAAGGATATTGGGTTTTTCTCCAATCATTTTCTATTACAGGATATGGTAAGGAAGAGAAGCCATTAAGGAAGCAGTTCTCAACCTTTCTAATGCTGTGATCCTTTAATACATTTCCTCGTGTTGTGGTGATCCTCCCACCAAAATAATTATTTCTTTGCTACTTCATAATTGTAATTTTTCTACTGTTATGAATGGTAATGTAAATATAAGATATGCTGGATATCTGATATGGGACCTTGGTGAAAGGACCATTTGACCCCCAGAGAGGTCTCAACCCACCCACAGGTCGGGAACTGCTGAATTAAAATGCTGGCAGCCAGTGCTATAGCTCAGGAGTGGAATGCTTGCCTGGCATAAGGAGGTTCACAGTTCTTGAATGTGAGGTGTCTGTTACAAGCCCCATGTTAGAGCGCTGGGTCCCCAGCTGGTGATGGTGTTGTGGCTGGGGACCTGAGTGGGGGAAGAGGAGCCTAGCTGGTAGTCCTAGATCACTGGCGTGGGCCTCGCTGGTCTACCCAGCCTGGCCACAGTCTGCTTTCTCGAATTCCTCGTTTGTACTTTTTTGGAGAAGTAGCCACAGATCCTGTAGCCCCTACACCATTTCCACCTTGACGGACTGAGATCTTCTGAGACGGTGGGTCAGAGTAGACCCTGCTCTGGCTGTCAGCTGCTTTTGTTCAGGCAGTTTGTCACACGGGGGGGGGGGGGGGGGGGGGGGGGACTAAGACAATCTGCACAGAACCAACCACAAGGAATGTGAAGGTTGCTCAGGTTAGCTCTAACTCCCTATGTCCTATTCACAGAGGGTCACAGTATCACATAGATCACGGCACATTTATACATATGTATCATGATAGTTATACATCTACATATATATCGATATCTACATATACATGAAGGGCTTTCTGAGACAAAAAGTCTCACTATGTAGTGCTGGCTGTCCTGGCATTCTCTGTATAGACTAGGCTAGCCTTAAACTCACAGGCAAACACCTACCTCTAACTCCTGAGTACTGGTCTTAAAGGTGTACACCACCATGCCCAGCATATTCTTAATTTTTCAAAAACAAGTTCTCTGTGGGGCTGGAGAGATGGCTCTATGGTTAAGAGCATTGACTGTTAGTATTCAGGCGTCTGTACTGGGCCGCCCTCGGGGTCCTGACAGGATCCGTCCTCAACTGCAGCCACTAAGAGTAGCTCCTGTGCACATTCACTACGTTCCCTTTTTAAAAGGTGGGTCTTGTCCACCTCTCATCTCTTTCTCCCCCTTTCCTTCTCTCTTCCACCACTCTTGTCCCAAGGGACAAGTCTCTGCCGTCCTCTCTGCCCCTCTCTGCCCCTTTCTCTGTCTCTTCTCTCTCCTTTTCCAATAAACTTCTTGTGTGAGCCTTGTTGCATGGCATGGCTTCTCTTCACGGCTTTTTAAAATTACAGCATTGCCTGCCCTTCCAGAGCACAGGGGTTCGATTCCTAGCAACCACGCTGCAGCTCAGAACGGTCTATAACTCCAGTTCCAAGGGATCTGATGCTCTCTTCTGACCTCCTCGGGCAGTACACACTAACAGTGCACAGACAGACACACAGACAAATCTGTATATACATAAAATGAAAACAAACCTTTAAAAATAAACAAATAAAGCAGTCTGTGTGTCTTCTTACGTGTTGGGTGCTGGTCCCTGTCTTCCACCTTGTTTGGGGTGTGTGTGTGGGGGGGGGGGGTGTCTTCTGTTCACTGCTATCTGTGCCAAGCTAGCTGTGAGCTTCCCAGGACTCACCAGTCTCCGCCCCCATCTCACTGGATAGAGGAGCGCTGGGATTTACAGATTCCTAAAAGCTCTTCTGGCTTTCCACGGGTACCGGGGATCTTAACTCAGGGTCTTATTGTAGAGCAAGTATTTTACCCACTGAGCCTTCTCGGCTCTGTACCCTTAATTCTCTGCCCTGTGTCCTTTCTACTCAGCCTCACATCAGCTCCCCCCAAAGAGAAACACATTAAGCATATTTGCCATAGGATCTTTGCTCAGGGCTGCCACCGTCTACTTAGGACTGTGATATTTTAGGGACACAATGGTCCACGCTTTCACAAAAGTAATCTGTGAGGCAGCCCATGCATAGTAGAAAGAAAACAAAACAATAACAATAACACCACCACCACCAAGAAAAAAAAAACTCAGTTTGGATTGTTTTTCTGAATGGGGGAAATAGAACATTTGCTTAAGCAGATGTTCCTTGGTTCTCTTTCATGTACCCTCTGCTCCCTACTCTGGGACTGATGGAGAGTTGCCCCCAGCTATTAAAAGCTGTACTTGAAAGCCCCCATCTCCAGATCTTTGCATCGTGCCCCCTTCTAATTCAAAACGGACCTTGAGGTCTTTAGTAAGCACCAAAGGACGTGAGTGGACCCGTGGCGACAGGGATGGAGTTGGGGGAGCAGAAGTGGACCGAAGGACTTATGGTTGTGGTTATTATTATTTTAAATAGAATATCTTTTGTTTATTCTTTTGACGATTTCACATGAGGGAACATAGCAGCATCCCGATGTCATTGGTTTCTGAACTCACAGTTCCAGACAACTTAGGCCTGCCATTGCCCTCACCAGATGCTGATCTTGGAAGAAGCCTCCTTCAGGTCCTGAAGCTGTGGTTGAGTCCTGGCTTTCACTCCTTTCCTGTTAGTTCTTCCAGATGGTTGGGGACTCGTGGGTCGCCCCAAAACAAGAGCCCAATGTCAAAACTAGAAAAAAAAAGATAAAGAGGGTCACTTCAGACTGATTACGGGAACAATCCATCACGGGGCCATTAACATTCTAAACACATGCATCCCAAACACAGGTGCACCCAATTTTAGAAAACAAACGCTATTAGATGCAAAACTCTAGATGAGTTCTAGGACAATAGCGGTAGCAGGACTTCAATACCCTGCTCTCAATAAATGATAAGCCTTCCGGACCAAAAAAGAGGGCGAGAGAGAGAAAGAGAGAAAGAAATAAAAAAAAAAACAGAAAAATCTGGGGAAATACAAAAGAGCCTGATGTCTTTTGAAACCGGAATAAATAGAACTCTCAAGCTTTTGATTCTCTGGAAGAGCTATTGGACTCCTTTTGCAGAGCGGTGTTTCATTTCTTATAGCAAAGAGGTTTTGAAATTGCATTCAAGTGCCTAATAACCTTCTTGGCACATAAAGGAAGTCCTCCATCAACCACACACGCACAAAAAAAAAAAAAAGAAAGAAAAGAAAAGAAAAAGAAGAAGGACAGAATGTACTGAGTGGCGAACAAGGAGAGGACATAATGAGGCTTTAACTCGCACCTGCGGCAGCTGCCCACCAAGGACCCAGGACTTCCGTTTCAGTCAGCAGCCTGCATGGCTACATTTCTGCCCCCCTCTAATCCAAAAATGACCTAGAGGCCTTTAGTAAGTGCCAAGGGCTTGAGTGGACCAATAAGGGGGCGGCAGAAAGGGACTGAAGGACTTATTGTTTCGATTATTATTATTATTATTTTGAAACAGAATGTCTTTCATTTATTCTTTGATAATTCCATACACGTAAGCAATGAACCTTGGCCATATGCATCCAAACTCTCGCTTCCCACTCGGCCAGGCACCCCAAGGCATTATCCTTCCTCAGCCCTTTGTGTTCTCCTACAGCAGGATTTAACCCCTGTTGAGTCTTCCCATCCACCCACATTCCACTTTGTCCTTGGCTAGAAGCCTGCCCTCCCGCCATGGCTCCCTCTGCAGGGTACTCAACCTCGCTAGCAACCAGAGAATATCACCATGGAAACCACTTGTAGAGAGGAAGGAGTGGGTGGTCAAGAGGGTGAGGAGAGGGCAGCGAGAGCTTCAGAGAATGAAATATTTCATGCAACATGATGTAGTTGCAAAACCTGGGTCTAGATGTAGCTCAGGGTAACCGATAAACATTTCTTATTTGTCGTTAGGATGCACAGAGCCTCCCATCACAAGCTCCCATGTCTGCATCCCTAGCATCCATACATATATATGTTTTATCTGTTTTAAAATATTTATCTTAAGTGACGTGTACGTGGTTGTGTGCCACATGACAAATAAAAATCACAAGTCTAGGTATTTACCAAATTCACTGATAAGAACACCGGGCAGGTAGACCATGGCACACCAGGGACAACTCTGCCATCAAACAGCATCCACTGCTTTGGGACCTGTGGAAGCTAGTGTTCTGTTCTATAATGCATCCCAGAGGCTTTACCTGAGAGTTGAAAGTACGGCAACAGAAGCAGAGATAGGCAACGAGTGGCTATTAAGAGAACTAAGATGGTCTAAAATAAATGCAACTGTGTATCAGCAGATTTCCAACTCCCAGTCACAGAGCTGTGACCAGTCCATCAGCCCTGTCCCTAGGACTTCGGCTTCACAGTTTCCCCTGTGCTGGGGTTGAATGCAGGGCTGGAGGCAGGCTAAGCACATTCCGCATGCCTATGTTTTCTTTCAGGGCTGCATGATCCCTCATTAACTCAGGCTGACTGAAATCTCCTCCATTTTTTATTTGTTTGGTTGGTTTGGTTTTAGTTTTGAAGACAGGGTTTCTCTGGGTAGCCCTGGCTGTCCTGGAACTCACTTTGTAGACCAGGTTGGTCACAAACTCACAGAGATCCTCCTGCCTCTGCCTCCTGGTTGCTCAGATTAAAGGCATGCACCACCACGCCCAACCACGTATTTCTTCGTGTGTGTGTGTGTGTGTGTGTGTGTGTGTGTGTGTGTGTGTGTGTTTGTCTGTCTGCCTTTGTGTGGAAACCCAAGGTTGATGTTGGGTGTTAGCCTCCATCTCTCTGCCACCTTACTCAACGAAGCAGCTTCTCTCAATCAAACTCAGAGTGTGAAGATATGACTAGTCTTGCCAGCTCTTTGCTCTGGGGATCTGGAATGACGAGTGAGCTGCCGTGCCCACCCAGCAGTTACACGTGTTCTGGAGTAACTCCAAACTCTAGTCCCCATGCTTTCAGGGCAAGTGATTTAACTGCTGAGCTACCTCCCCAAAGCTCTTCCTATCGTTTTAAGTGTAGCTCCTGAATATTCAAAAATGATACTCACACTCACAGTGTATATTTATGTCCTGATTACATTTCATCACATGCTTCTAAAGTCGATTTCTCATCTCTCTCTCTTTCTCTCTCTCTCTCTCTCGTCTTTTATTGATTTGTGCATCTCTGGATCATCGTGAACATTCTATGAACAACAATAAAGACTTGTTTGTGGTTTTAAAAAATTACGTGTTATTCCTGTGTGTGCATGTGCACGACATATGTGGCCATGGCTTATGTGCACGCATGTGTGCGGAAGTCTGCAGACACTCTCGGGAGTCGGTCCTCACCTTCCACCATAGGTTCCCGGGATCCAACTCTGCCCAAAGTATGTGTTTTTACCCTTTGAGCCATGTCTCTGGCCTTGTCTGTGTTGGTTACCCAGTAGGCTCAGTATCTAGAATAATTAACGACACATAATTGGCCATTGCTATAAAGATGCTTTTCAATTTATAAAGGATTGACATCCTGATAAACCCATCATGTGTCCCAAATATTTTACATAAAAAATGTGCATTTAAGAGTCTGGAGAGTGGGGCTGGAGAGTTGTTTCAGAGGTTAAGAGCACTGGCTGCTCTTCCAGAGGGCTTGGGTTCAGTTCCCAGAACCCTTATGGCAGCTCACAACTGTCTGTAACCCCAGTCCCAGGGGATCTAACACCCTCACATAGACATGCATGCAGGCAAAGCACCAATGTACATAAAATAAATAAATAAAGTTTAAAAGAGAGAGAAAGAGAGAGCTTGTGTAAGAGAGACAGAGGGGTAGTGTAAGCCTTTAATTACAGTGTTCCAGAGGCAGAGATAGGCAGATCTCTGAGTTTGAGGATAGCCTGGTCTACAGAACAAGCCAGTTCCGGGAAAGCCAGAGCTAGACAGAGAAACTCTGCCTTAAAAAATACAAAAAGGGGCTGGAGAGATGTCTCAGAGGTTAAGAGAACTGGTTGCTCTTCCAGAGGTTTAATTCCCAGCAACCCCATGGTGACTCACAACATCTGTAATGAGATCTGGTGCCCCCTTCTGGCCTATAGGCATACATGCAGGCAGAACGCTGTATGCGTAGATGACCTAATGGCTAAAAGAGTACCTGCTGCATAAGAATGACCCCAGGACCCATGTAAAAAGTTGAAGGTGGCTGCACTTGTCTGCTGCCCCAGTGCTGTGGAGCAAAAACAGGAAGACTGCAGGAACTTGCTGGTCAGACAGCCTAGACAAAACCCAGCAAACTCCAGGTTTAGCAAGACACCCTGTCCCAAAAGAACAAAGCAGAACGTGACACACCGGACACCCACTACCCTGTCACCTCTGGCCTCTGCACCTGCACAGATGCACATATATACCACACCTCCACACATGAGAAGCTGGATTAGTGCACCTGACCTGTTGAATCTGTCTCATGCTAGTCCGCATGCTCAGAACACTTGATCATCCTGCAGCTCGGAAAAACTCTCCTCTCACAAAACCTATTTTAGAATACGGTGTTGGATGCCTTACATATGTATTTTATAGACAGCCTAGCTTATCAAGATACAAAATACAGCTTTAAAAAAGTGTTGGTGGTCTGGGCTTGGTTATCTCAGTGGTAGAACATCTTCCCAGCATGCACAGCTCCTTCCTCAACACACAAACACACACACACACCACAAACACCACAAACACATACACACACCACACACATACACACACACACATACACACAATGGTGTATAGTACACCCTATTGTTACTTACTCTCTTAATTATATGACTGACTGGGACCTTCAACTCACTGCCACAGCCTGGCACTGTCACAATATCATGGTGCATATTAACAGTCAGGAAAGAAGATCAACATTCTAAACACCCTTACTGCAGAATGTGTAGCAGTTATACTATAGCAAATAAAAACAAATTTAAAGGTGGGCCCGAAGAGCTAGCTCAGCGAACTCTAGAGATCTACCTAGATAGATATCTAAGTACATTGGTAGCTCTTGCAAAGGATTTGGTTTGGTTCCCAGCACCCACGGGTCATCTTCCAACTGCTTCTAACTCTGACTTCAGAGTATCTAATGCCATCTTCTGGCCTCTGTGGGTACTGTGCCCATGGGATACACATACCTACATACAGGCAAGCACTTACACACATAAAATAAAATAAATACATCTTAGAAAGAAAAGAAAGTTGTTTTTTTTTAAAAAAAAGGAAGTTAACTCATCAACTGAGAAACACCTGCGTATTTTTCTTGTGTGTATCTGCTCATGCGTGTCATGTCAGATGGCGACTTGGAGTGTTTGCTTTTGTCTTCTGCATTGCTGGCAATAGGCTTGCTTGTTTGCTATGCATGCACTAGGAGAACTGGTCCATGAACTCCTGGGGATTCTTCTGTCTCTGTGTCCAGTCTTGCAGTGATGCACTGGGGTTATAGAGACAAGCCAGTGTGCCCAGTTTTATGTGGATTCTGGGGATCTGAACCCAGGTCCTCACACTTGCATGACGTGCACTTTATCCATAGAGACATCTCTCCATCCTCATTCCTATCAGCTTCAGTTCCCATCACAATGGGAAGAGTCCTCTGCATCGCTAACACCCCAGAGAATGTTCTAAGGACCAAAGTGGAGTAATGGATGCTGGATCAGCTAAACTGGGGTTGGGACAGAATCATGGTTCTGTGGCACCCCTGCCTGGATGGGGCTGAG